TAAGCCACAGCCACAGCACTTTACCATTTCAAATTTGAAATAATCTTCTACTGCTGTTGATGTGAAACAGTGTCTTAATTTGGTAGCTTGTATTTTATGGATTGTACATATTTGTTTATTGATAATTCCAGCCATTTCTACTAAATAAGTTATTTCCTTTTTCAGTGTTTGATAATACTTACCCGATTAAGTTTTTTTCTTCTCTTTTATTTCATTGATTTACTTTATACTTTAGGAATATCCATGGATTCTCAGTGCATCAGATGACCAGACGATACGTATCTGGAACTGGCAGTCAAGAAACTGTGTGTGGTAAGCTGAATGAAGTAGTCAAAAGAAATTGATAAGATAAGAACTAAATGATCAGAATAGGTGTTGAATTCTTAATAATGTGTTTTGCCAAATATATATCATATTCTGTTAGATTAAAAAATAGAAAAAAAAATCAGTCTGAAAGAAATCGTCATTATAGGTTAATGTTCTGATGTATGTTCTATGTGAGATATAAAAATCTCCTTGAAGACGTATGCAAAATGACAATGTTGTGAAACCTGATATTTATAAGATACAGAAATCATAAATTTGTCAGTCTGTGAAAGACAGTGACATTACAATACAAGTAGATGTTTTTTACAGCATCAAAAACTGCAACCAGTGTGCTGATATTCCTATTTAAATGGTTGCTGTTGAATTATTATTATTATTATTATTATTATTATTATTATTATTATTCCCAGTGTGTTAACAGGCCACAGTCATTATGTGATGTGTGCCCAGTTTCACCCCAGTGAAGACTTGGTAGTCTCTGCCTCTCTGGATCAGTCCGTGAGAGTGTGGGACATTTCAGGTAAAAACTGGCCACAGATGGTACTGGAGGCTGGTTCTGCAGTTGCTGCTTTCAGTGGTTGCAAAATTGATCAACTCTTGTTTATTTTTTATTTCTTTGGTTTTGTTTTGATTGATCAGTTTATGTGAGGGAATGATGCCAGTGAGAATGAAATCTTTTGCGTGAAAAGGTATTATTTGTTACTGTTTTTGATTTGGAGTTTAACCTTGTCACTGATAAATCATTTCCTCATTTACTGGTTAAATTTCTGTTTAACAGTTATTTCATTTCCTTCCTTGCAGATCTTTTATAATCTTTCATGGCACCAAGTTTCCTTCCTCTCTGGTTCTTAGCACAAAGGATCATGTCTAATGTCAGCTGATCAATATTCTAATCCCCAAAGATTTTTTAAAGTGTTAATACTAAATACAAAAGTCCTATTTATATTTAAACAAGTTTTGAATTTCATTCAATTTAAACAGTATTCTTGGTGTAAAAATTTTAATTAGTACCAAATGTGTCTTTGAAGACATCTGGCTTTCTGTTGATTTTTAACTCCTCTTTGTGCTGAGACATTAGAGCTTACAGCTAGCAGTAACTTTTGAACAATCTGTGCTTTTTAATGTTTTCTGCTTTTCCAAGAATGATTTTGACCAGTTAAAAAAAAGAATGTGATTCTTCCACTCCCATCTCTAACATCCTCAAATTATAAAGCTTGCCCCACCTTCATCTGGTCGCAGTCCAGTTTGCAGTGAGACCGTCAACAGTCTTCAAGAATAAAGAAAAAAAAAAACTTCCTATTTTGGTATAAAGAACTGGCATTCTTTCCAAGTGAAGTATTCTCCTATTATTTCCAGTCCATTTTCAGGGAGATTAAAGCCATCAGTCTTAACCACACCTACTGTAAAAACAGCACCTTGCTTTTGGCTACCTGATTGGCCAAACCAACAGCATGCCCTGAATTGATTATATTTAATTATATTAATTGATTGATTGGGCCCTGTGATCTGTTTGCTCCTTCAGTGTCTTGACTGGTCATGGACATTATGTGATGTGTGCTCAGTTTCACCCTACGGAGGATATGGTTGTATCTGCTTCTCTTGATCAGACTATCAGAATCTGGGACATTGGTGGTGTGTATATAATTATTGTTTTAATTTTTATCTATTTAAAAAGGGGGGAAGGGAAATATTAAAATATTTCGAAAAAGAAAAGAGATAGAGGAGCCCTCGTGTTGGTGTTTTGCACCACCATAGTATATTGAAATGATTTTAAAACGTTTAACTTTTTTTTCTGAAACTTTGTTATCAGACAAATATAAAAGAGTGCAACTTTTCAAAAGAATAAAAAAAGTAATTTTTAAAAGAAACGCCATGATTATATATCAGCATGTTATGCCACTGTGTACTTCATTGCTAGCAGCAGCATTTTAGATCTAAGAGCACATTTTAGAAAGTTTATCACAATTTTTGATGCAGTCAAAAGCCTGTGTTGCTGTTATTTCTATCATATCACCAAGGGTGTGTCTACACACAATCCCAGCTTTAGCTATACTACTGCTGACTTTAAGTCTCTTGCACGTTTTGGAGTTTTTATTTTATTTCCTTAGTTCTTCTAATTTTTATTTCATAGAAATTTTAGTTATTTTTTTTCTTTGCTTTTATTTAATTTTGTCAGTAGTATTTGTGGTTATTTGATTTTTGTTGCTTTGCCGTTGCATCTTTAACAGTAAACATTCTGAAATTTATACGAGTGTTTTTCTTTTATAGAATGATTTGAAATAACGTATGCCTATTTGAACATAACTTGATGCTATAAATTATAGCTTCTTATATAATAAGCATGCTCGTGTTTAATTGAAAATTAGTGGGCTATGCTAGTGCTTGCCATAGTGTGCAGTTATCCATTTTCATTGACATATTTATTCATTTTCATAAGTATATATTTTATCAAGTAATATGATATGCAAATCTGCACTTTTGTTAATATACACAGCATGATTAAATACAAGTATCTACTTGAAAAAAAAAAGATGTATAGTTTAAAGATACAAGATTATACAATTATGAGAGCATGGATCTTTATCATTATAAGGTAGAATTTATTCTCATGAAAAATTTAGAGAAATTGTAATGGTAAAAATTATAATTTGTCAATTTCTTGTAAGTCAAGTATCGGCAAATATGTTTGGTATGTATAGAAATAATAACCAATTCCCCCAGGTTTGCGTAAGAAGAACGTAGCCCCAGGCCCTGGAGGTCTAGAAGATAGGCTGAGAAACCCCAACCAGACTGACCTGTTTGGGACGTCTGATGCCATAGTGAAGCATGTGCTCGAGGGGCACGATAGGGGCGTCAACTGGGTCTCCTTTCACCCCACACTCCCCCTCATTGTCTCTGGAGCTGATGATAGACAGATTAAACTGTGGAGGATGAATGGTAAGGAAAGAATTTGTGTTATTTTAGCAACATACGTTGGTGGTGGTGGGTGCCCCAATTTTGAATGGTAGTCTGTTATATTCAAAAGAAAAGCATATGCCTTATTTTAGTGGTATTGGTGGGGGGATTATAAGAGACATCATTATTTTGTGTATTTGTATTCATTGTCAAATTGTCTTGCTGTTGTTTTGATTATCATGGTAGAAGATTTAAATTAGTGTAGTAAGTTAGTTAGGCTGGAATTCATGTACAGAGAGTTTTCCTTTTGTCACCAGGCCCTTGAACTTCTTTCCAGTCCATAATAATAGTTTATACATCTAAGTACCTGTATTCATGTGTCTGGATGCCCAGCACAATACTATCTCTGTCCCTGTCCACTTCCAGAGTCCAAGGCATGGGAGGTGGACACCTGTCGTGGTCACTATAACAATGTGTCCTGTGTCCAGTTCCATCCCAGACAGGAGCTGATACTCAGCAACTCCGAGGACAAGAGCATCCGTGTATGGGACATGTCTAAAAGGTAGGTGACAAACACTTCATCCCACTACTCCAAATAACAAAACAATATTAACTTTGTCACTGTGTTGCACTGTTCATCTCAACCACTCTTCCCTCCTCCATTTTAAGTAATTTATGTATTTTATATGTAACCTTTGTAATGTTCACGCTTTCTGGTATATATTATGACCAGGCAGAGGCACTCTCTCTCTCTCAAGTGCAGTTACAGTCTGTCAGTAGTGATGGTTATCATAAAGAAGCTCTGCAGATTCAGTTCATTGTACCACCAGCGTAGGCGCTGGCGGTACACATGGTTTTAGTCCCGACCCGTATGTTCCACCGGCTCCTGCGGCTCCGCCGCCAAGTCACCGTTACCGCTTCTCCTCCTAGACGGTAAGGGCCTCCATACCCATCTCTTGGATTTAGGTCACCTATAATCTCAACTCGTTCCACGTAAAATTTGGGCTTTGTCGGTATTGGGGTCTAGGTGTGGCACTCATTGCAATGCACCCTTGTCCAAAAATGGCAAAATTAAATGCTAATTATCTCTCCTACGGAAGGAATTATGGGAAAAATTTCTACAGACAGCTTTCCAAAAGTCATATGTGTAGATTTCATATATGCCCTTGGATTTGACCTTTGACCTTTATTTCAAGGTCAAACAGGCCAAAATTTTCAAAAAAACAAAATTTTTGCCGAAAAAAAAATTATTTGCGGCCTTATTCAGATACCACACAAACTTAACTAATAATATTAATGGAAAGTGTTACCCTTCGGGTCATCTTTCATCTCCGTGAATTTGGGGTCAATCGGTGCATTTTCACGGGAGTAGCGGCCATAAGATATCGAAACTTAAAACTGTCTCTAATTTGGGAACCGTTAATGCTAGACACCCATTCTTTTTTGCATTTTGTA